GAAATGAGGGAGAGTATACTGACCACAAGTTGTCATGGAGTTCTTTCATATGACCCTCAGAAGATGTCTTAAGTAGACCTGAGGCTCAAAACAGGAGTCCAGGCAGAAAGAGTGAAATAATGAGAAGTCCCTGAAGTAGGAATGAGCCTCATGGGTTTAAGGCAATCGAGGTTAAAACAAATGTCCGCTGGTATCAAGCTGCACTATCTATCTTTATCCCTCTGCCTCTAGAGTGCTTCAGCTCTTAGACCTCACCAGAATGGTTGCTTCCCACAGTGGATGGTGGTTAAGACAGAAAATCACAACTAGTCAAAGTGTAGAGAATAAATATCAATGGCATGCTCAGCCACAAATGCAACATGTGTACCACACCCCACTCTCCAAAGCTCAGGTGCCATGACATAAGAGGGATAGATAAATTGTAAGAGCTATAAGCCAGGGAAGACTAGAATGAAACAGTCAGTGTCTTCTGGATATGACAACATCTCTGTCCTCACAAAAACACAGCAGCTTTTGTTGCCTGCACAAGACTGTATAATCAAGTCAATCAATGTTTTGCTTAGTGTAGGAATGAGTTCTTGAACCCCCACCCTTAACCGAGTAGCTATTGGCAGATTTTTGATTCTGGGGAAGGGAAAGTCAGTTTTCTTGAAGGGTGTGGCTCCTGGTTTGTTGACTATACTCTGGTGGATGACCTCATATCAAGGATTACAAGAGAAGCACAAGTTAGAGTGTACAAGTTATTATCAAAAACAAGGAGGACATAGAGCTGGAGGGTTAGGGTTCAAGGAATTAGAAGGAGGAGCTAGACGAGGCAGTGGTGGAACAAGCCTTTAATCCCATTCACTCTGTGAGTTTGAAAGTAACCTGGCCTACAGAGTAAGTTCCAGAGACCTTGGCTGGAAAAAGCAAAGCAAAGCAAAGAAAAGCAAAGAAAAGCAAAGAAAAGAAAAGACAGGGAAAGGGGAAGGCAAGACAAGGCAAGGCAAGGCAAGGCAAGGAAAGGCAAGGCAAGGCAAGGCAAGGCAAGGAAAGGAAAGGAAAGGAAAGGAAAGGAAAGGAAAGGAAAGGAAAGGAAAGGAAAGGAAAGGAAAGGAAAATGTAGAAGGAAGACCTAGAGGTGAACTATGGTTAAAATGATGCATTCCATGAAATTCTCAAAAAACTAATAAAATTGTTTAAAAAAAAAAAAAAAAAAAGCTCATGTGATTTCAGGACAGGCAACAATGGGATGAGCCCAAAGAGCTTGACAAAAGGACCTTGGTGGAATTCTATAAGAGCTACCAGGCCAGGGTGGGATTGAAAATCATCCTCATTATGGTGAGAGCCATTTTGAGAGTTTGATCAGGGAGCCTGTGTCCTTTGAAGAGATTTTTAAAGAGTGATATGGTCTCATAGAGAGCCAGGGTGAGAGTGTGGCACAGTACTGAATGATGGTAGAGGTGACCAAGGTGACAAAAGATAATTGAACTCACACTGTATTTGAGTAACAGATGCATATTACTTTCTCTGTCTCTACAGTGACACAATGCCTAACACAACCAGCTTGAGGGAGAGAAGGATCATTTTGTTCAAGGCTTCCCTCATGTCAAGGGAAGGTGACTGAGGACAGCAACAGTGCAGGTTATTGTAGCCCGGAAGTGGAGTGAAAGGAATGCTTCCCCCTTTTATCCCAGCAGGCTCTTATACCATACATGGTGCCAGGGAAGTCGAGCTGAATCTTTCCCCTCAGCTAATCTTCTCTGGAAACAACCTCACAGACACACCCAGAATGAAGTGTGCCTCATGGTTACGTAGTGGTTTTAAAACCAATCATTCTGCCAAAGAAAAGTGTCCATCACAAGAGGTCACCAGATTTAAATGGATTTCAGACTCAAAGTCCAATTGCCTTTGAGGTGAACACACCACCAGGACTTGTCACTAACTTCTCGATGGCCTTTAATTGATTAAGTTTAATGAGTTTAATTTGATGTCTTTCCAGGAATCAAATTTTGAGTTAAGGAAAGTATACTGAATGTCTAAAGAGGCAAGAGTAACTTCTTCCCAAAGAAAGGATGAGAAACAGAGAGGGAGAGAGGGAGGGGGTGAGGGAGGGAGGGAAGAAGAGAGAAAAAAACAAATTGATGTGGTAAGAAAAGGGAACCCAGAGCTGTCAATAGGCACATCACCAATTCACAGTAGTTCTGCAGGGCCAAGAGTGCATCTCCCTGTAAGCTACACAATCAATTTTCTTGTGACAGCATCAGTATTGGGATGATCAATAGCTGTTACCTATGCCATTTGTCTTCTCAGAAATAAAACAACTTAAGAAAGGAGATTGAATTGCTTTGTATGAGGTGACATACCTTTGGCTTGAACCAAAACTTCTAGTCTTGGCTCTATGTTCTCAGACTTACACTTTATTATTGTTTTTAGCATCGAGCCTAACTTGACCCTAACAGACTTGCAACATTAAGTACCTGAAGTAAAATGAGTGTGCCCTCTCTGCCTTAAGGCATCCTATATGTACTTTGAAATTTTAGGACAAGTGTTATAGAATGAAATGCATCATCCTGGTTCTGTTCCTTTAAGATGCTTTAGCATGAAATGGATCTGTCTTCTTCAAAAGGAAGGGGGTAGGAGAATAAAATGGAGGTAATGATGTGAGGAGTGGGGGAGGGGTGGCACAGAAAATAGCCCATAATATGTGTAGGAAAAGATTTTGGGGGGAAGCAATGTTTTCCAGGCAAGTGTGAATAATGGGGTTCAGTTTCTCAAAGCCTATGTCAGAGCTAAGTGGATGTGGTGTCTACCTGTAATCTTGGCACTGGGCAGGGTGGTGTGCAGTGCAGAGATGGAGCCCCTGGGCTAGCCTGACTAACTAAATTCATGGAATCTGTGAGCTTCAGGTTTAGTGAGAGACCTTGCCTCAGTAAAGAAAGTGGAAAGTCTTTGAGGCTCAATTTGTCATCCACACATATGTGCACGTATGTATACATGCAGCCGCATACATGTGTGCCATGTACTCACAGTGAGTACCACACCTTACTGGACTCAGTTGCACTGTAGTTTCGGTTTTGATCATTTGCTTTGTTCATTTTGTTGAAAATATCTGGAAATGCAGTAGCCTGCATCTCCTCTCCCTTGAAGAACTTTATTTGAATTATTTCAGTTGAATTGCATTTCTCTGTAATCTTAACTTGCTGTCTGCTAATCACATTATATCATAAAATGGCAAAGTGTTTGGTAACTATTAAGCAGGTTCATTATGAAAGCTAGCCTCTGATGCAGAAAATGCTGAAAAGAGAAGTTCTCATTGATCTGGAGCTCTTGGATTCTTTCTTCAGAATCCCTGGACTCTTATCAACCTGGTACTGATTTTTATATGACCTTAGATCAACTTCATTCTCGATGTGCCTCCAAATTTCCAGGAAGCTATGGAAAAGACTAATACTTTATGAAATAGTTTTCCCTCCTTAAATAGAGAATAATGCATTAATATGTATAGATGCTCTCATTCTTCAATTTCAAAGATAACAAGTAGCCCAAGCATATTTGATAACCACAAACATGCCAAGACATCCATTCCACACCTCAGAAGAGGATCCACTGTATGTTCATTTTTTTATTTAAACCTAAGCTTTAAGCATCTCCCATCAGTTGTTTCGGCTGACTTCAGAGCTCAGATCTACCTCAGATGGAGAAGCAAGAGAAAACAATAAAACTCTGATAAAATACATGAAACACAAAACCCACTGCGAATTTGGCTGACTAGAGAAATGTAGCTAGGTAACTGATGATGAAATTGTGTATTTTGAGAAGTTTTTTTCTCTTCCTGTAATTATTTCCATGTGCTCTGGTTCTCTCTTCCTCAAAAGTCTATGTAAAGTAGTCAAGTCGAACATAAAGTCAAAGCTCCCTATGTTTTGGTGCCTATCATTAATAAAGAAAGCAGATAACTCAGAGGATATTTCAGTAACCATCAACTTGCACTTAATTCATCTCCCTGTGTTCCTACACTCCCATTTTTACTTCCCTGTCATCTTAGAGCAGTTACAAGCTCATGAAGATAAGCATCTTCACTATGAAATATTTTAAATGTGCTAATGGGGACTTAAAGAGATGACAAAATAAGTCCTTGTATGGTGTGGAAACCATGGTACTAAGTTTAGACCTGTTAAGAACTCATCATTGGAATAGGTCCTGTTCTAGTTGGCTTTGGATTGATGTGATCAAGATCCTAAACAGAAGCAACTTGGTAAGGAAAAGATTTATTTCATCTCAGCCAGGCGGTGGTGGCTCATGCCTTTAATCCCAGCACTTGGGAGGCAGAGGCAGGGGGGTCTCTGAGGGTTCGAGAACAGCCTGGTCTACAAGAGCCAGTTCCAAGACAGCCTCCAAAAGCCACAGAGAAACCCTGTCTCAAAAAACAAAAAACAAACAAAAAAAACGATTTATTTCATCTCACAGCTTATAGTCTTTCATGAAAGGAAATCAGGGCAGGAATTCAAGGCAGGAAACCTAGAGGCAGGAATTGAAGAAAAGCCATGGATGCACGCTGTTTTCTGACTTGCTCCTTGCTTGCTGCTCATCTAGTTGGTTTTTTTATACAATCCAGCACCCACAGTGGACTGGACCCTCCCATACCAATCACTAACCAAGCCAATGCCCCACACTGTAAAACTTGTCTACAAGACAATGTGATGGAGGCATTTTCATTTTTTCTCATATTAAGAAAATTCTATTTATATAATATATTCTGATTATGATTTCTCCTCCCCCTACTCTTCCAAGTTCCTCCTCACCTCCCCTTCCATTAAGATCCATGCCCTTACTGACTCTCCTTAGAAAGCAAACAGGCATCTAATGGATAATAATACAACAAAATAAAATACAAAAAGATGAATAAAAAGCAAATCTGAGTATGGCAAAACAAAACAAACAAGAAAGGAGCTAAAGGGGCTTTTTCTTATTGTCTTTGTTGCACTAAACAAGCTGCCTTTTTAGTGTTTACCTTTCTCAAAAATATGGTATACCTCACAGACTTACATGTCATCCTTGAATAAGGTGGACATGCTAATCCTCTCAGTACCATTCCAATATTAGTGTATGTGTGGCTGAAGAGAGCAAGGGAGACATTTTCTTAATCTAGGTTCCCCCTTCCCAGATGGTTCTCTAGCTTGAAAGGAGGAGGAAGAGGTGGAGGAGGAGGAGGAAAAACAAAACAAAATACCTAATACTGGTCTATAATGCCAGCTAGTCAGGAGGCTGAGCAGGAAGATGATGAGTTTGAGGTCAGCCTGTGTGATATAATGAGACCCTTTTAATGAAAACAAGGAGAGGGGGAATCGGATGTGAAAGATCTCACCAAATAAGTATTCTGAACATCACATAACGTCCAGTGTTGTTTACTTCTATCAGAGGTGATGATAATTGTAATAGCTGTAATAATTCTCATATGTGAGATGCTATACTTGATATGGATTGCCAAATTTAATCTCCACAACCAGTTTATGAAATGGGAATTTTCCAGACCAAGAAAGTAAATTTATTATTATTTTCATAGTCACAAACTCAACGGCAGTTTATACCACATCTCAAGTTATATGAATGTCAGTGGTTTTTAATTTTGATCATTTTCTCACAGTTTCCCCTAGTTGCTGTTGTGTCAGATTGCTTCGGTCAAGTTCTTTTTGGAGTCATCTGAGTTCAAGTGTCAATACAGTTTTGCAAATTAAAAAAAAAAAAGGGAAGTATGTGGAAACCTAAGGTTCAGAGTCAAAAGTCTCAAAGTCAAGTGAGAACCACTCTAACACTCTAAATATTCCAGCCATAATAGCTGTAAAAAATTTTTTAAATTCATTATATGCAATTTTAATAAACTGCTATCTGGATTCACAGTATATAACAGATTAAATATCAGATGTTAAAAGTAGTGGCAAAACTATCCAATAACAAAAGGTAAAGGTTGGTTTATTTTTATGCCATTGCAATCCCTTTATAATTATTTTTTTTAGATTTGTTTACTTTTATTTTCTGTGTTTGGGTGTTTTACCCGCTTGTTTGCCTGTGTATTGTGTTGTATGAAATGCCTGCAGATGCCAGAAGATGTTTTAATTCCCCCAGAATTGGAGTTTCAGACTGTTATGAGCTACTATGTGGATGCTGAGAATTGAACCCCAGTCCTTTGGAAGGGCAGCCAATGCTCTTAATTGCTAAACCATCTCTCCAGTCCCTAATGTGTTCCTTTTCAAACAGGAAGCTGCTGCAGTAGTAGCTCCAAAATTTGGAGCTTCTGCACAGCTAATAAAGGACAGAGGCAGAGTTCACCAGCAGCCTGGATCCTCAAGGCAATGCTGTGTTCCCTTCATAGGCAAAACTGTCATCTTATTTCCCTAGTTAAATAGTTAATTATCATAATTAGGACCTTAGGAATTTAGCATTTGTTTTCTATAGTATTTATAATAAGAATACAGGTGTATATGGATACATAGTAGAGACCTCTTTCTGTATGATTACATGGAAATCAATTTTTCTTTTTAACAAACAAGCCTATATTTTCCAGTAAGTTCCATGTCATACATTGACTCATTCCCTAGCAATGTAAAACAAATGATGTGGTGGCATGGCCCACTTCAACAGTAGAAATTCAACTCACCCAAGCGACTTGAATGATTAACTAATACTAATTGATGATGATGAGATCTTTAGGCATAAGAGAAACAGGTCACCCCCTTAAAGTGTTTTTAGGACCCTCTGTCTTGGGGTTGTGGATAAACATGACAGGTTCACAGTGCCAGAGCAATCTGTTCTGAAGAGAAAAAGTTCAGTCAACCATTTCATCTGCATTATGCCAAAGAGTCACTCACAGGAGCCTTAAAAACTGTTTTGACAGCTTGTTTTGGCTGTCTGTAAATCTACCCTCCAGATAGAAACCTTGGAAAATGTCTAGGAGAAAAGGAAAGTATACATGATGTTGAGTTTCATTTATTACCAATTTTTGCTTTACATATGTGATCCACTCCATTAAACCATCTTTGTGGTCTTATTTCATTTTTTAAAGATATATGAAGTTCAGAGTTAGACATGTCAATATTTTTACATCTTCAAATTTAGAGTTTGCATATAAAGTCTGACAGAGACTAGCCAATGGTTTTCTCTCCTAATAGAAATGTAAATAGCATTCCAGTTGCATTTACATGTGTGCTAATGGTCTTGTCTGCTATGAACTTCAGAAGTTTTAGTGCCCATTTAGTTATGACACACACAGCTTCAGTGACCTAACAGGCAAATCTGTAGAGCAATAACCTTGCCTACTTATGTCAGCCAGAAGAAAAAGGGTGAGACAGCAGTGGTGAATCTATTTTTTTTTCTTCTTCTTCTTCTTTTTTCTTTCTTCTATTTTTTTATTTGATGCTTAGCCATAATGAATCAGAGGCTTTTATAAGAAACCCTTGCTGGCCCCTGCAAGATTTCCTAGCCAAGATAGAGAGATTTTTTCCCACTTTATTTGAAAAATTGTTCGTATCTTAATTTTTTGTTTATATGACACCGTTTGTTGAAAAGTTTAGCAATCCTTTTTATAAGACATCAGATGTCATGCTATTTGGAGTTTAGTGGTATAATGTTATCAGATCCCATAAAAATGTGGATAAAAATTTCAACCTTGTTCATAAAGGATCCATTAGAGGAAATCTTAAGTATATGAAATTATGACTCGAAAAAGCCTTCAACTTCTATAGCCATAACTAACTTCCCAGAAAGCTCATTGTAAACTCAGTAATTCAGCACAAAGTAGCTTTGTGTCTAAAACTCGACTACACATGAATTACTTATGGCACTCAAACACATGCCAGAGTTACTTCTCAAAGGCAGGAGGGTGGAACTCGTGCAGATGTTACTCTGCTCACTCTACCCATGTGGATTCTAATAAATGGCAGGTGTTGCATTCATACATCTTTTTTTAATATTGAACATGTACTTGAACAATATAGTAGGAAAAAAACATATCTAAGTTCTGTAGAAATTACTGCAAATTTCTTTTGACCATTCAAAATATGAAAGAAACCAAGTTATTATTAGATGCTATTATTAGATGTAAAACATGCATAAATTTACTAGACAGTTACTACTTATTTTGATGCTCTGAAGGAGCTGAAATCTGCTGATCCAGAAGGTACTCGGAGCTCCCTGTGTCAACAGAGGCTTGCCATAGAAAAGATGTCTGGTTGGCATCACATACAAAGAGATAGTTCACAAAATAGCTACGTTTCAGTAGCTGTTTAATTGACTGGGTCAGAGGTTTAGCCTCTCCAGTTAGTTGTCTTTGTGCTGATGACATAGATATTAACTCTGTCACATTCATGTTGATGAAGGATGTAAGCCATCTTCATCCCAATTAGAACTTTTGAGTGGGCCCATGGAGAGTAATTAGAGTCAAGGACCCAAACAGGCAATTGCTAGTACCCAGTGTTTTACTGGTTCAGGATAAAACAATGTATTAGTGTTTTGCATTTGAATATAGAGTAAATTAAAAGCAGTATATTCATATGGTAAAGTGCAGAAAATAGAAATTACACACACACACACATGTACAACTGTCTACTTTTCTGAGCAAACTTTTGTCCAGAGACATCCTGGGGAGAGGCTATGTGTCTATCATACTTTTATGTAAATACCTACCCCTAAATGGCCAGTTCACCAGAGCTCTGATATAAGAAAAAGAGAGTTCCTTAAAACTCACCTTGTACAGTGGATATACCCAGCCATGAACTGGAATTTCTACAACCATAAGCCAAGTCAGCCCTTTCTCCTTGTAACTTAATTAATGATGGAAGGCTAGCATACCTTCCAAATAAGGGAATCTGCAAATTTGGTTTTATAAGACATCTCTCTGTAGGTCTCCATTTTGATCATGAGCACATTAAGCATAGAAACCCTACAGAGTCTTTAATATACCCACCTGGTGCCACATGCTTTGGGCACATATTAATAGAAATCTAAAGTCACCTCACTTGCACCTCATAAGACAAATTAATTTAAGCATTTCAGCTTTCTTAGCCCATTTTGTTAACACCTTATCTAGTCATGAAATTATGGTGTATTCACATAAATGAGGTTCTCTCTGGATCAATATACTTCTTGCTATTCCATATACTTTTAAAGCACAAAGAACTCCAGCCATGTGTCTCCAGATTTTTAACAGATAAGACATTTTCATATTCAGCTTTAAATGCATTGAGAAAGGCTGACGGAACTGTGTCTGCAAAGGTCTTACTGTGAGGACGATGAGGGTAATGAATGGAATCAATGAGTATGCAACAGTGATGTCTACAAAGTCATTTTTTAAATGTCACTTGTTCAAAACTGGAAGTCCAGTGTACATGAATTTAGGAAGGTCCTTTCAAATGGAGGCCATGGGTATAGTCCCCAGTGTACATTCAACATTTGAGGATATAGCCAGGTTGTGGACTGTTTCTCTGTGTATCTTCTTGTCCTTCCCATCCCTCCAAACAAACCATTAGAGATGTAGGTAGCTGGATTAAAGCCTCACGATTATTTCACCAATGACATCATGAGGTATAGGATTGGTCTGTCTTGCCCATTTTCCTTTTTTCTTTCTAATGATTACTGCATAGCTAACCTTATATTTTAAAAAATCAATTCCTTTGCTGTATCTACTTAAACACCCTTCTTGACCTTCTGTTTTCTTCATCTGAGCAATCTGCTTCCTGGTTGTGTCAGAAAAGCATCCCCAGCACTTTGTGATCTATTCTAACTCCTGTCTTTAACCATAAAATAAAATTTGTCCTGAACAAACATAAATATTTGGATGTCTGAAGAAATACTTCTTGGTGAAGAAATAAAAGCATTAGCATAGATTTATTTGATTGGTCATGAGAAGTATTTTTATAGTATATGACATCCATGAGGTGGTTAATGAACAAAATGAGTAAAATGTCCATAAAGTAATAAAGGAACAGACAGTATGACATGGAGATTTCCAACTGCAAGTCTCATACAAAGCCTTAATTAGTGGTCCTAGATATCCCAACCACTCCCGTGGTAGATGCCTGGTCTCAGAATCCATTTGTGCCTACTGTGCTCACATTGGATTTTCCTGGGTGCCA